CACAAAAAAAAAAAAAAAAAAAAAAAAGAAAAAAAGAACACAGTTAATAAAACAAACCCTGATTTGCACAAAATAAAAAGGACAATCAGCCTTTATTTCCACTAACGGGCAGGTGAGGTGAGAAAGTCTGGCCCTTTGTGCACTCTTCAATGTAGCTTTCTGGCAGGCAAAAAATCCCTTCAGAAGCCTTGGGGGCCATTCTCACCTCTCCTGCCCTGCGATTCCCTGAGCCAAGTGTCAACTCTGCTGAGTTGGGGTGACCAGAAGCAGCTGTGGTGCCCTTCACGGGGCCGTGAAGTCTAGGACGTGCAGGGCTGATGCCAGGGCAGCGTACAGATGGGTGGTACTGAAACGGAGGCAGTACACTGGGCTGCTGGTGGGTGAAGACAGGTGAAAGCTCTGCAAGAAAATAGGAGAATCAACCTTTCAGAGAAGAGGTCAGCCCAAAGACCCCAACCGGTGTTAAAGACCCAAAGGCCGAGATGCCTGAGCAAAGCAGGCTTTTCCCTGCATAGGTTAGGTTTCCCTATGGTGGGCTCGCCCCAAAGACAGCCCAGCAGCCCCTCTCTCTTCTTCCAAAGAGACACGGGCACCGGGCTGCCAGACAACAACTCGGAAGCTCTGCTGCTGCCTGGCCTCCGGCAGGCCCTCACCTGCAGGCACCGAGTCTGCCGCTTATCCCAGAGGCGCACCACGCCGTAGTAAGAAGAGCCGCTGGCAATCATATGGTTCTTGTCACTCCTTATGCAGTACAGGGCACTGTCATGGGGCTCTTCCCACTCCTGGACGCACTTCCTGCAAGAGCAACACAAACCGGAGCGGGGCTGAGCCTCCACTCCTCCACCACTGGAACTGAAGCCCAATTTGCCTGAAGAAGCTAATTCAGCTGCAGGCGAGTCCCCAGACACTGCACAAGGAGAGCCCAGGAGCCTCATGCAGGCCCCACATGGCAGCAGGGTAGGCTCACCTGGTGCTAGTCCGTATGTCCCAGTAGCGGATGTAGGTGTCATACCCACAAGAAAGGAGAAGGGAGGGCGTTTCGTAGAAGACATCAAGGACTCCAGCTCCACGGTGGAAGTCAGTCCCTAAAGAGGTCAACAGCTGACCGCTGCAATGAAACACAATAGGGGAAGAGTCATTCAGAGCAAAGCACCCTTCTAATTCAGCTGGCCAGAGCAGAGATGGTGTCACAGAAGTCTCCTAGATCTCATTTCTATGATTTAACAGAATGCAAAAGCCTGCACAATTTTCCTCTCCCCCCCAAGCTTCTGCTACTGGTTGGGCCACTAACTGTCATGGAGGGTGACCAGCAGGAGTCAACAGCTGTGAGAAGAGCCAAGGAACAGGCAGGGCTGACCTCCAGCAGAACGGGATCATTTTCCTTGGGAGAAGTGACCAGTAGTCTGAATGATGGGACTCTATTTCCATGGGAGACAATTCTCAGCTCAGTCAAGCTCCAGATAATCTGCAACAGCCACTTACCTGGTCAATTCCATCCCATCCCATCCCAGACTCTGTCCTTCAAAATACTGCCCAGTGGGCTATTTCCCCATACCTTTGCCACACAGCTCAGATCCACAGGCAAATCAGACTCTCCTGACCCGGTCTGCCATGGCTGTTCTCCTCAACTCCCTCCAGTTACACTGCTTACTGCAAACACCGTATCTGGGGCTGAACATGACAGGTCAAGAGCAACCACCCCAGGGCTGCTCTGGAGATGACTTTCCAAAGGCTAGTTGGTTTTTTTTTTTGACCCCCTCCTCCTTTTTAATTCCTTGCTTGCTGTGAAAGAGCAAAAGCAAGATCTCCATGAAGCTCTAAGCCAGACGCTTTGTGGCCGTATCACTCTGCTGCTTGTTCATGTGCAGAACCAGCAGCTCACCAGGTGGATGGTGCCTGGCGAGGGCCCACCCTGCCAGACTGCAAGAAGGTGTTTGAGCCCTTTCCCTGGGCCATATGAAATTGCATCAGGCACATGGCACAGCCTGTCCCCAGTATCACTCCATCTGCCCCAGCAGCCAGCAACACCCAGCCATGGCAGACTCTTGGGAATGGAGGGGACAATCTGCCCAGCTGCTTGAAACAGCCACCTATTGCAAACCCTCCTTTTCTTCCTCCTCCTCACACCCTCTAAATCAAAAATGCTGGACACAATAAACCTTGAAGCACCTGCTTTTCAAGCCCTGCCGCACGGCCACCCCTCTCTAACAGGCTCTTGGTTCTCAGGACAATGAAGCGGTCCTGAAAGCCAACAGCACGGATCCCGCAGTGGGGTCACTCCCAGCATCTCCCCCCATTATTTTGTTACTTTCTGCTCCTTGATCCAGCATCACACAGTTCTGAGGCACATCGCCAAATGCCTTAATTCTGTCTGTAATCTGGGCTAAAGCCCTCGTCGGGGGATAAAGACCACACAAAAGGAGAAATAGAGTCCTGGGAGATGTTAAAACAAGTAAACACCTTTGTGTCAGGAGAGAGAAATCGCTGATAAAGCAGATTAGCGCCTCGAGCCCTGGTGTCCCCAGATCAGAAGGCGAGCCCTGGCCGATCTTTGCAGCCAGCACGCTTCTATGATCACAGAGCTGGCGGCATGCTGGGGCCAGCCTGTTTCCCCACAGTCACTCTCCAAAGAGCAGATTATGTAGAATAACAATTTCTTTGTGGCTGTGTAATTCCCTCCGTGACCGTGGCTGTGGGCAGCTACATTGGCCCTTGATGCCAGGGCCCTAGCAACCATTTAGAGAGGCCAACCAGCCCTAGCGATGGCCCCCCCGTGCAAACCTCTCGGACAAGCTTTAACATCAAGTGCATGAATTAATCCCCCCCAACACGAATCCAGGGGTGCTGGCTTATTGGACTTTGTGTTTCTCCAGGCAAGGGATCGAGGGGATTCCAGGCTTCAGCCCTTTGCAACCTTCTCACAATACATTAACCCTTGGGAGGTTACTTGCAAACCAACCCAGTAGCAACTCTGCACCTGTGTACAGGTCGAGAGGTTGAAGCATTTGCAGTCTGAGCACTGGGAGCAAGAGCTGCGGGGTTTGGCTGGGGCAGATGGGTCCTCAGCTCCACCATGGTGTGAGACATGGATGGGCATCTCTGAGCTCTGGCATTCCCCTGCCCCTCCAAGCACACAGATCCCCTCCATCTGCCATTCTGCAAAGCCAGCAGGACAGACGGACGTGCACACAACCCTTCTCAAGGCTTCCACACAACCTTCTTCATCTTAGGAGTTTTATGTGTGGCCAAGAGGTGTAAGACATACAACAGAGGTATGAGGAGGAGTCAGCTGCTCTCACAAACAAGAACCCTTGGACCACCTGTGAGATGCATAAGGAGCTAGACTGCCTAACCTGCAGAGTCCTCTGCCAGTTGTTCAGGCAGGAGCAGGGAGTTACTGACAGGAGATGAGCTACCTCAGCGAGCCCTAGGAAGCACCAGCAGCTTGGACCCCTCTCTCCTCCCCACTTCTGCGTGCTACTGCTTTTTTTTCTTTCAGTTTTGCAGGGTGCCCCTTGGACTGGTGCTCTGGACATGTGGCACTTCAGGAGAGGAAACCAGGATGGGCAGCTGCACGTGGGCCACGCAGTCCAGCAGTACATCTGGTGAATATCTCCTGCTAGCTAGCTGAAACCTGCTTGTGCTATTTCCCCTCCACCATTTTCCCTGCTAATACACCTTTAATATGTAAAGGACTAAGTGAGCTCAGGGAGAGATGAGCACTGTGCTGAGGAAAGGTAGCAGGATGCAGAAGCACATCCAGGGATCTTTTACTCACTGGGACCAGCCCTCTTCCTCCTCTCAGGTGCTTGAAATGGGTCACAGCAGATCTCCTCATAATCTCCCACCTCTAAACAAGCACCCATCACACCCAGAGTGAGCCTGGCCACATTAAAGCTGTCTTCCATCTCCCAGACCAGACCTCAGTCTGCAGTGCTGCAAGACGGCAGCAATTTTTAATGGCAGCCTGGTGATGTCTCGCAAGTGAAAAATTTCAGCATCAAAGGGACAGGGACAGGAGAAACCAGAGAGTCTGGATTCCTGCTTTCAGAGCTTCCTGAGCAGCACTGAATACCACCCAGATGCCTCGCTCCCAGTGTTTCTCCATGCCTTCACACCTCACTGCAGTGGTACCCAAGCATCCCAGCAGTCACACCTGTTTTCCTCCCTCCACTTCCCTTTCCAGCCCAAGCAACAAAAAAGAAAGAAAAGAAAAAAAAAAAAAAGAAAAAAAAGGATTAGCTTCTCTCTGTAGGCAGGAAAGGAGCACAGATACTTGCAAGTTACTGCAGCAAAGCAAACCTTGCTTTGCTGGTTTGTTAATCAGTTCAACTCTCCTGCCCCAAGAATAGGTCAGCCAAGGCAGCTTTCAACCGGGAGGTCCAGCCCCTGCATACAGCGGCAGTCCTTCAGCAGTTTACAGAAACAATGCATTAGTTGCTACAGTGAAGCACTTAAAATCTGACACCAGGGGAAAATCATACTGTGCTGTACACTGGGCACACAAACCAAAAGACCTAAGTGTTCTGGCATGGGCATGCTTAAATTGATAAAGATGCAGAATACGATTAATACTTCCCCTGTTTTTCAGCAGGTTAAGGTGTCTCTGGACCAGCTACCACCACGCCAGGCTAGCTCCATGTCCCTGCAGCATACGCAGCCATGCTGAGCCCATGCTGGGAAGGGAACTCTCTGCCACCATAACTCTCCCAGCCTTGGGATCACAAGTTAGTGCCCACAAATTGTCCAGTCTTCATTATCCCAAATACTCCCTGCCCTCAAACCCCAGTCCCCAACAGCTTCCACGTCCTATGGAGCAAAACCCACAGCTAATCCTTAATAACCCATAAAGGATCAAGATAACCCATCAAGGGGCAACAGAAAAGCAGCAGATACACCAGCACATCACCAATGGTTTTCTAACAACTTACATGGGCAGAAGACATCTACTCAATGAAGGACAGAAAGAGATGTGATAGCTGTCTTGAACCTTGTTTCTCACCAGCTTGCAGAGATCACCAGCACCAGCCAAACGCAGCAGGGAACAGCCTTCTCCTTTCCTTTGTGGGCCCTTTTTCATGCTCTGCACCCAAACACCTTCCAAAAACCAGGAAGCTGATCCTCAGCGCTCCAGAGGCCAGGGTGTCCTGTCCTTGTCATGCGCTTTGAAGGTTAGTCAGCAAGTGACTGTAAAGCCCAATCAAGACCAAGCATGGAAGGTCCACACCACCTCCCCACCATGCCCTGGCCCTCCAGCAGTAGCAAGTAGAGGCTGTTTCACTCCCAGGCCTTCTTCGGGCAAGCCAGGTAGTTAGCGGTACAGATGGTGGGAGTTTTGCTATGTTTTCTGTACTGAACAGCCTGGGCCAGACTGTGCCAGGGTTCAGTCCCAGTGCTGGGTGGCACTGACAGAAACAACTCCACACCAGTGGAGCTCCGTGGAGCAGAATCACAAACGCAACAGTCCAGGTTTCCTGGAAAGACCAGTCTTCAGCACCTTAACCACAAACTGCCTGGGCCAATGCAGCGCCTACAGACACACAGGTAGGCCTCCAGTGCCGAGCAGGAAACTCACAGGTATTCCTAGTTTCTCCTACTTTCTCTTAAGCATCTAGACAGACTGAAATCATATTGGCAGTAATCCGGTACCAGCCCACAAGGAACAGAGCCAGAGCAAATCCAGCAGCCCATTTCGTCCCTAGCACAGGAAAGCTGTGTTAGCACCAGGCTCCCGACTCCTTGCTGATGGAACAAGATGTTTAAACAAAGTTCCTGTGCCTGGGAAGTGTATCAAACTGATGAGTCCAAAAGTGAAAGGCATTTTGTTCAGGCACTATAGACAATCCTTTGATTCATCTCTATCAATTTCCACGTTCTTCAGAAAACAAGACTTCTTAAAATTACTTTTAAAATAAGCTATTTGTTTGGGATTTCCACATTTCACTCTTCTTTCCATGCTGGAAATCTAGCCGTGAGCATTGCTATCGTGATACCTCCAGAAGACAGGAGCCTTCTAGCCTGGAAGCAAAGTGAACTACCAAGGAATGGCAGAAACAAGCTGGTTTATTTAAGTTGTTTTTTTCTTTTTAAAAACATCTTAAGGATCTA